ATACAACAGCTGTAATATTAATGAGCAAGCCAATAAGCTCGGAGAACCCTAGCACATTGCGATCCCGATTTCAGAGTCGGTTTCTCTGCCGCACCACTTCGGAAAAGGAGGTAAGTAAACGTTATGTGAGGTTGCAGTGCAAGGCAACGAAAGCTGGATGCGATGACCACAAGAGAATTAGTTAAGCGGTATTACAACTACTTCCAAAAATGATACTTCCACCGAAATAGCCAAGACAGCGCGAAGGTACGTCGCCTAAAAAAGGCCCACCTCTTTTTGAAAGCAGCACCAGAGCTTACGAATAGTACAACGAAAAACGAAAAGCCGTAACTAGTAAAAAAGCAATTTCTAAACCTACTGAGAAACAGGAAACAGGTAATATTTTGAAATTAAGGAAATTAAAAGTAAATCGGTTGAGAAATTGGCGGTGAATTCATTGAGTATCCAACGTCAAGCGTTGCGGGACCACAACTGTGGATCTATTCGCGTCCTTTAAATTTTATATTTTTGGATCTTGGGGGTCAGCTGCTGGATGTTCATTTTTAGGTTCTTTTGAATCTCACGAGCATGTTCTTCTTGCTGCATCGTAACAGGAAATGAGGGGAAATTTTAGCCCGATACTTTCAGGCTTTTCTTTGTTTAATTAACCCTGTTTCGATCTCATCCAATGAATCAGTACCATGATAACTGAGAAAGATGTCGAACTCAACTGCTTCACTCCGAGAGATTACCAGGTATGCACATGGGAATGATTTGATGGCAGATGTCAGTCTGTGGAAAGGTGCCATTTAGGTTGAACTTCTTGATAAGGCTTGCAAGCGCAATGTTATCGTTCAACTCGGTACAGGAGCCGGAAAGACATTCATAGCTGTTCTGCTGCTGAAGGAATATGGACTCCAAATTATGGCACCGTTCGAAAGCGGGGGCAAACGGGCGTTTTTTGTGGTTGACAAAGGTGAGTTGTGCTCGGGGGCATATTTCGGCGCAATGTGGCTGCAGGGGGTCAGCCTGTAGCAGTGCGCCAGATTCACGAGAACTTTCATTTTTGGGACTTTTTGGGACTTTGTTGGAAAAGGAGTAATTCGAGCTTTTTAAGCAATTTTCGTTCGCTCCGGAATTCGTCCCTCTACGTTAGGCTTAGTCCTAGTGGCCTTCCGACAGGGTGGCCCCCGGAGGCACATTGCGCCAGTATTTCTTTTAGTAAGACCGTATGCGGTCATCC